GAGCGTCGGCTGTGACTTCAGGTATTTGAGACTGCAGTGGTCAGTATAAACTGTAGTCTTGGCTCCCTCTAGGTAACACCTTCACGCCTTGAAGGCTACGACTATAGCTAAGGCTTCCTTGTCGTGGACGGGGTAGTTCAGTTCCGCTCCGTGTAACTTCTTACTGAGGTAGGCGATAGGCTGTAAACCGTTCCCGTGATCTTGCATCTGTACTGCTCCGACTGCCTGGTCACTAGCGTCTGCTTCAACGACGTAGTCTTTCTCAGGGTCTGGTAGGATGAGTACTGGCGCTGTGGTCAGTGCTGTCTGTAGCTGCTCCATGGCTTGCTGATGAGGAGTATCCCATTTGAAGGGCGTATCCTTTTTCAATAGGTCGGTCAGTGGTGCTGCAATCTTCGCGTACTGTGGCACGAACCTGTTGTAGTAGTTGGCGAAGCCTAGGAACTGCTGCAACTCCTTCACATTCTCCGGTACTTTCGACTTCTTGACGGCTTCGATCTTCCGCGGGTCCACGTGTACGCCCTCGGCACTCACCATGTGCCCGAGAAACTGCACCTTCTTCAGGGCGAAGTCGCTCTTCGACAGCTTCACGTAGAACTTGTTTTTCCGCAGGATCTCGAACACTTTCCGTAGATGCTCCACGTGCTCCTTCATGTTCTTGGAGTAGATAAGAATGTCGTCCAGGTACACCACTACGCACTCGTCCAGCATGGGTCGTAAGATGTGATTCATCTCCGCCTGAAACGTTGCTGGTGCGTTGCAGAGTCCGAACGGCATCACTAAGTATTCGTAGGAGACGTATCTGGTACGGAACGCCGTCTTGTGGACCGAGTTGTCTACCAACTTGATCTACGAGTAACCCGACCGTAGGTCCAGTTTCGAAAAGACTGTTGCTCCACGCAGTTGATCCAGTAGGTCGTCTATGCGCGGTATGGGATATTTGTTTTTTACTGTCTGTTTGTTCAGTGCGCGGTAGTCGATGCACATCCGTAAACTGCCGTCTGGTTTTGGAGTGAAGAGAACTGGTGCACCGTGGGGAGAGGTGGATGGGCGGATCAGTCGTCTGTTCAGTAAATACTCGATCTGTTTCTTCATGTCTGTCAGCTCGGTCGGACTCAGTCGGTAGGGTGCACGTGAGACGGGTTTCGCACCTGGTTCCTCCACGATCTCGTGCTCGTGGGTGCGTGCAGGAGGTACGCCAGCGGGTAGGTCGTCGGGCATTATATCCTTGTACTGCTCCAAGACCTCCTTCACTACTGCAGATAGTTCTGCGTCCGGCTTCTCCTCTTCTGCTGCTGCCATAACCAGTGCTAGGTATCCCGTGTTACTCTCGTTCACCGTCTGTTCAAATCGTGCCAGTGTCGTTTCAGGAATGTTCCCTGTATCCGTCCAGCTTTGTAGTGCTATCCGCTTCCCGTTGTTGTAGATGCACACCTTCCTGTTGACCCAATCGATCTCGGGGTTGAACCGAAATCTCGCCCCAAGGTGAAATCTAGCCTTTTGATGTTCGTGATCGGCAACGTCGGCTTCCACCTTAGCGCCCCTATGTGCAGCTGCAGTGATGCTTCGCCGTGGATGGGAAGTTTCGTACCGTCCACCATCGTTGTCGAGAACTTGGTCTCCTCAGAAGGTTCCCCAATTTTCTCCAACGTCCCGCGGTCACACACCAAGTGAGATGCACCGCTGTCCACCAGTGCCTGGAGGCGTTGTCCTTTGCATAACACCTCGAGGAGTAGTGGTGCCTGCTGCGCTGAGTAGCCAAAGAGGGTCTTTTTGATAGGATCATAAGTTACATCAAAGTGAATACCATCCCTATTTCCTATACCTGACTCAGCACTTATCTCTTCCAACTTCACCTGGAGGGTAGGAGGATTTTTCCGAGGCTTGTACAACTTCTCAAGAGCCTGGAATTTTCCTCTAAGCCTTGGCAGCTATGTAGGCTTCACCTGTGGGCAACGGGGAGCCTTAACACTGTGCTGCGGGTAGAGAATATTAATTCCACGGAACGCACGACCCTTTTCTACGCTCCGTAGTACTTTGCCCAACTTCTCGGGTACCTGAATAATCTCTAGAGGCTTTTTCTTGGTCTCTACATCTCCCCTGAATTTTTCAAAGGCTTGAAAACCACGAGAAGCAATATTCTTCGTTAGAGTATCTTTATAGGATACTTCTAACGAATTCTTACTTTCCTGGGTGTTCGACTGGAGTTTCCCGGTCGGTGCAGAGTCTTTTTTCGCGGAGCCTCTGTTTGCCTCGGCGATTTCCCCTGATGCCGGCCGGTCGTGACGTTTTGGATTCGCGCCATCATTTTCTCCTTTTTTCACCCGCTCCGAAGTCGCCATGTCGTCACATTTTCCTGCTTTTCGGATCGTTACGCGATCGCCAGGTCGATCCGTTGCTACTGGCGATTCCCGTTTTTTAACTTCGGGGGTACTCCACTGTTACCGCCCTGCAGTGCCGCACGTGCCTTTTTCATTTTGTAGCACGACAAAAACTGATGCCCTGCTGCGCCGCAAAATTCGCATTTTGTCGGCTGCTGCTTCGCGTCGTATTTATCGATGCCCATCGGTTCAGCGAACGTGGGGGGTGCCGATCGCTCCGTGCCGAATGTACGGTTCGGCGTGAAGCGTCGTGTTTCGGGTTGACCTCGAGTCAATGCGTCGTATCGCTCGGCAGCACGCACGATGTCGCGGTAACTGTTGTAATTTGCGGCGATGACCTGTCGGCGAATCTCCAATTTTAACCCTTCTGTGTACGCCTGGATTTTTTCGCCTTCGGTCAGGTCGGTGATGCGATTGAACAGGAGCCCCATCTGCTGCTTGTACTGTGCTACACTACTGTATTGCTTGTGACGGTGTATCTGCTGCCGCGCCATGTAGGTCGTATTAATGGGTTCGAAACGCTCGATTAAGTCTGCTTGAAACTGATGCCACGTTTTTTTCCCGCGGGCCACGTCAGTGTAATAAATCTATTCGAGTGCCGGTCCACGTAACAGTGTCGCTGCGAGCCGAATTCTTGCTGCGTCGTGTTGCGGGGTCGAACAGCCAATGGCCTCGAAGTGAATTTCGAGGGTTGCCACGAATCGCCGGACGTCGGATCCCTTCGCGCTGGGATCGAACGCTTCAGGGAGCCTCGGTCGTGCTGCTTCGAGGTTCGGCGACAGTGGTGCCATCGGTCCGTGAAATGTCGGTGTCGCCACTAGTGCGGGTGTTGTCGCTGCTACGTTCGCTGCTGCATTCGCTGCTGCTGTGGTGGCGAGTCCTGGTTGGTGTGTCAGAAGGGCCTCGAGTCGTCGTAGCGCCACCTGCGTCTGCTCCATGTCGGTGCGGAGGCTCGCGATGTCGCTCGTGGTCGCATAGTTCTCGCCTTGGCCCTCCATGCCTGATATTGCGTGTCCGAAAAAACGAAACGAGGGGGAGCGAAAAACACGGAACCGGTTTTACGTACCGGAAATCGATGTTTAACTGCGTCGCCCCCGCGGTTTTTGAAGACTCGGTTTTAGCGGTCGAAAAACTATCGCGTGTAAACGAGCTCTGGTTACCAAGTGTGAGGATCTAGGATCGAGCTCAGAAAAGAGAATTGTAATTGATTGATCCACCTGGGTACAACACGAGGCTATATATAGTCTCGACACAAGGCCAGTTACCCAGGTGTTATGCGAATGTTATGAGGGTCGCGAATCGTCCCGAACAGAACCTTCCCGAACTCAGTAGAAAGCAATTCGGTGGAAACCGAAGAGGCTTGAGTTCGGTACACGTAACCTTGTTCGGTGCTATAACTATAATAAAATATAGGAATGCACCTATCCTAGGAGATCAAGCATATGTATGCATGATAAATAAAACCCAAGCTAGATATAGCGTAATAAAGTCTAGGCAAGCTAGCAAAGCCAGCATAAGCCGTCGTACTCTCGCAGTTAGCTTTTCGCTTTATTTCGTGTGCTAACTCCTCAATTGCCCAGGCACGAGCAGGGCAGGGGAGTGTTGACGCGAAAGGCCCTACAGGAGCCTGTATTCGTGCGTGAGGGCTCCGAGCGAAATGTGTCCGCGCAGTAGAGCGCATCCTGCAGCTGCAAAAATGTTTGCACTGCATTCTGGGTTCGCGTCTGCGCGGGATCGAGGTTTCGTGTTTGTGATGGGGCGAAGTTTTCGCGCCCCTGGGAGGATTCGCGTTAGATCACCGTTGCGGGATTTCCCGCGGGTTACGAAACGGGAGAAGGCGCGGAAAGGCTGGACGCAGCGAAATTGGACCAAGTCATGACTTTGGGAGGGAAAATTCGCGCAGTACACTCGGTAGCCACAAAACAAAAGCGGACAGAATCAAAGGAAGTGACTATATTGCACAAGCGAAGCATGTGTAACTGCAAATATTGCAGAAACATGAACAACTACTTCTAGATAGGTATAAATTTACCTGGCATGTTAATTTCACATGCCGTTGCTGACTTGGCAACGCACATGCTAGAGTAGTTGTCGGAACGTTCTGCGTGAACGTTCGCGACTATCGTCGCTTCGTTTCTATATGGTTCTGGTCCTTCCCATTGTACTCTATTGATTTCTTTTCCATAGTGAAGCTATGTTCAAGCTTGCTCTCAACACTTATAGAATTTTTACAAGGCAAGCCAACACAATTTCGTGCCTCAACTCCTAGTGCACATTTCGTGACGAGATTCTCGTGCCCACGTTTTCGTGCCCCGCCATCCCGAAAACTATAAATCTCTGCACCTCCGCCCCCCCCTCCCCCGACTCCCCCCCCTCCACCCACGGCCCTGCTGTGTTGCTTCCGAAGCTGCACCAGTGGCGCGAGCAGTATGGGGACGTGTTTGGATTCACTGTAGGGGCAATGGTGCAACTGGTTGTAACAGACCCTGCACTAGTGAGACAGGTACAGTCATGTGGCGATGCTATGGTTTGATATGATGTGATTTGCCTGACGTGATGCGATGCGATGTGATGTGATGTGATTGCATTAGATGGTTGCATGAGATGTGATTGCGTGAGATGCATGCAGAACACAATCAAGACACAGTGCTCCTGGGTCCACCACTCACGTCCCCTCTCTTCTCACCTTCCCTTTTCCGTCCCTGTTTTCCCCTCCCCACGTCACTTTCCCTCATCTATCCCTTCCCTTCATCTCCCCACTCCCCTTTGCCCTCCTTACAGCTCTCACTCGTCCTCTCTGTCTTCCTCCATCCACTTGTCTCGTCTCTGGCAAGTGTTGCTAGCAAGCAGCGGGCGGTACACCAAGATCGCAAGGGCACGCAAGGTGCTGAGGCTGCTCGGGCATCCATCCACGATCCATCCACCTGTCTCGTCTCTGGCAGGTGCTGCTAGCAAGCAGCGGGCGGTACACCAAGACAGCAAGGGCACGCAAGGTGCTGAGGCTGCTCGAGCATCCATCCATGATCCATCCACCTGTCTCGTCCCTGGCAGGTGCTCCTATCGAGCAGCGGGCGAGTCACCAAGACAGCAAGGGCACGCAAGATAATATGGCTGATGGGCAACGGTCTGCCTCTCTCAGAGGGGTCTCTGTGGGCCCGCCAGCGCCGCATCATCAACCCCGCCTTCCGCCCTGCAGCGATCAAGGTGAGGCTTGTGGCCCGGTGATTGTCTGGTGCAAGATTATAGGAGACACATAGGAGCATGGCTGCTAGAAAACGGTATGCCTCTCTCAGAGGCATCTCTGTGGGCCCGGCAGCGCCACATCATCAACCCCGCTTTCCGTTCATCAACTATCAAGGTGTGTGCCTGTCGTGTGTGTCTGTCGTGCATTCCCTTTCTTCGAAAAAACATTTGGAAAGAGTGGATTCCTTTCTGTACCGAGCTGGGTCTATTTACTGGGAAATGTCTAGGCACTGATTCCATCCCCTATCTTATCTCTGCATGTATTGTTGATATGGGAGGATAAATATACTGCCTGGTTCCCTTTCCGTACTCTTGTTATCCCCCCATCGCAGCATCTTGCCAATTCCGGAAAACTTTGCCCTTTGGGCAGCAGAAAAGAGCATCCGCAACCTGACCTTGCATCTGATAGGCAAGAGGTGGGCAGCAGCAGCAGTGCATGCAGAGGAGGCACATGGAGAGCAGCAGGGGGGGACAGCAGGGTGGGCAGCAGCAGCAGCAGTGCATGGCGAGGAGGCACGTGGGCAGCAGCAGGGGGGGACAGCAGGGCGGGCAGCAGCAGCAGCAGTGCATGGCGAGGAGGCACGTAGGCAGCAGCAGGGGGGGACAGCAGCGCGGGCAGCAGTAGCAGCAGTGCATGGCGATAGGCACATGGAGAGCAGCAGGGGGGGACAGCAGGGCGGGCGGAGGAAGCACATGGAGAGCAGCAGGGGGGGGCAGCAGGGCGGGCGGAGGAAGCACATGGAGAGCAGCAGTGGGGGGCAGCAGGGCGGGCGGAGGAAGCACATGGAGAGCAGCAGGGGTTGGGCAGCAATACGGGCGGAGGAAGCACATGGAGAGCAGCAGGGGTTGGGCAGCAATACGGGCGGAGGAAGCACATGGAGAGCAGTAGGGGGGGGCAGCAGGGCGGGCAGAGGAAGCACATGGAGAGCAGCAGGGGGGGGCAGCAGGGCGGGCGGAGGAAGCACATGGAGAGCAGCAGGGGGGGCCAGCAGGGCGGGGTGCACGGGATCTGCTGGCACTCATGCTGGCAGCACATGAGGAGGCAGGCAACGAGCAAATGACGGATCAGCAGCTCATGGACGAGTGCATTACATTCCTCCTCGCTGGTATGCTCCTTCTGAGTCGACTCAAAATGACTTATAAGTCGAGTTAAATTTACTTATAGGTTGACCGAAAGTGATCACGAGCAGATGTCGGATCAGCAGCGCATGGACGAGTGCATCACCTTCCTCCTTGCTGGTATGCTCGTTCTGACTTCATGCTCTCAATCGAGTTGATTCAAACACACTTTCAAGTCGGCGTGAAGCAACGAATGCCCTCGCATCTCTCGAAACGTCTCAATGTTTGTTTCAATATTCGTCTCTTTACTACACATGCCTCCCGTTTCTCCTCGCTGGTACTGCCCCACCCCGCTGTACCTTCTCCCCTCCCTTCTCTTCCCTTCTCTTCCCTTCCCCACCCCTTCCCAAGCCCACATCCACTCTTACCCTACTTCCCGTTCCATTCCTCTCAGCCCCTCTGCTTCCCTGCTACCCTCCTTTCCCCCGCCCCCCTCCGCCCTCCCCTCCTACGACACTCGAGACATCAACCATCTTCTCTGCATTGCCTCCTTTCTGTGCATCGTCACACCTCCCCTTCCTGTTTCACCAATGCCCATCTTCCTCCTGCTGCCCCCTCCCTCATCGCCTCCCATCTTCCTCCCTTGTCGCCTCCTATCTTCCTCTGTGCCCCTCTCCCCCTCGTCCCCTACCGGCAGGCCACAGCACCACGGCGCACCTGCTGACGTGGACGTTCTATCTTCTGGCGAAGCATCCCGACTGGCACGAGCGGCTGCGAGCAGAGCTCAAGCAGGCGCTGACTCAGCAGGGGGCACAGGCCACGTCAGCAGTCCCCACAGCCAGCACAGAAGAAGGAGCAGCAGACAAGGCAGGGTCAGAGGCAGGTGGAGGAAATCACGAAGGGAGAAGCCAAGGGGGGTCTGGAGGGGAGGGATTGGGGGAGGGACAGGAGGGAGGACAGGAGGAAGGAGAGCGAGAAGGAGGAGCGCGAGGGGAAGGCGAGAGAGGAGGAAGGGGGCGGGTGACATGGGAGGTGGTGGCGGCACTAAAGGGCATGGGCATGGTGCTGCAGGAGAGCCTGCGCATGTTCCCCCCCGTCCCCTTCCTAGGCCGCACGTGCTAGCAGGTACACACTTACAGGGTCAAATGCACACATGTGGGGTTGGGGGGGGGTCAAATGTACGGGAAAGTGGGGTAGAGAGAGGGCACTGAGGGGCATGGGCATGGTGCTGCAGGAGAGCCTGCGCATGTTCCCCCCCCGTCCCCTTCCTGGGCTGCACGTGCCAGCAGGTACACATGGGCCACACGTGCCAGCAGGTACACATGGGCCGCGGGTTCCGAATGGCACCGGTGTGTTTGTTACTTGGGGGGGAGGGGGGGGGGGGGTTCAGATGGTTGGAGGGGGGCTTATTCTAGTTCCGTCTTTCTGCAGCTCTCAGCCTCATCGTCCACCCACTCACTCTCTTCCCCTCACCCCCTCCTCCTCACCCTCTCCTGCTTTCTCTCTCCTCCGCACCCTCTCCAGGCAGTAAGGCTGGGCCCGTACGACGGCCGCGGGGTGTGAACGTGCTGATACCAGTTGCTCTCTTGCACTATGACCCGCGCTACTGGGGCCCTCAAGCCCTCCACTTCAACCCCGACCGCTTCTCTAGTCAGTCCATTTCCTTGCCCTCATCGTTGCCCAATTCTTTGCCTTCTTATTTTTCTCCTTTGCCGTCTTGCAATCGCTTCTGGGGCCCGCATGCCCTAGACTTCAACCTCTATCGCTTCGCCAGTCAATCTCGTTTGTTGCCCGTGCCTCGTCTTCCTCCTTCCGCATCCGTTTTGTTGTTTCTCCCCATTTGTTTCTTCGCAATTCTTGTCTGCATGCCTATGCCCTTTTCTCTTGTTTCCCCTTCCCTGTTCTTTCCTCTGATATTCCTCTTCCACATAACTTCAAGTCTTTGTGGCTTACACTCATTATACCACGTTCCCCTTTTGCCCCTTCTCCCTCATACCCTTCCTCAAACCCCACCCACGCCACAAGGGACAGATGAAGCCTGTTCTCACCCTCAAGCATTCCTACCCTTTGGTTCGGGCCCGCGTATCTGCATCGGCAACAACTTTGCCCTCACAGAAACAAAGGTGGTGCTGGCGCACATCCTCAGGCAGTTCTCATGGCGCCTCTCCCCCACCTACAAGCACTCCCCCGTCAGCGCTGTCGCTCTGCGGGCGAGTTTTGGCATGCACCTAATGGTTGAGCCATTGGCAAACCCTTTCTGAGATTCATGGCACATACCACAACAGTTTGAAGGGGTTGCTGACAACACATGTTGTTGACACCCAGGGTCCAGGGAGCATCAGGGCACGTAAAAGTTACAACGGACCGGCCATTACACGTGAAGTGAATGCACTGCTTGTTGAATCTTCAGGTGCTTTAGCCACTTCAGGACAGGATATACACACCCAGGGCCTCAGATTCGTTTATGGTGACCCTGAGCACTCAGGGTCCCTTGGAGCTGTAACACTGATTATCAGGGTTGCCTGTGGAGAAACACTGATTCCTCAGGGTTCTTGGAAAAGAAACACTGATCAAACAGGGTGCCTTTTCAAAAAACACTGATCAGTGAATCTACAACCACTATTAGATTAACTTTTAGAAAGTTACATTTTGTTCTAGTGAACTTCTATGCACAGCATAACATCATCGTCACTAGCACCATCGCTCATAGATACGTGCATGGGGGTCTCTGTCCCCCACCCAGAGCCAGCACCAGCATCATCCTCGTCCACCCTCTCTTTCCCCTTAGCACTTGGTTGCTTCTTTGGTGCTGCCATTGTTGTGATGGGTTTGCGCTTCTTGTACGCCCTCCAGATCTTCACCACATCCACCCAGTCGGGCTCGTACGGCAGCAATGCCATGCACATGAGGTCCGACAGCCGCGCATCCTTGATGGCACCCCTCAGCCAGCTCTTGATAATGTTCTCGACTGTGCTTAACGCTAGCACAGCGACAACCACCCACATCTTCACCAGGTTGGGGTATGCGTCCTCCCAGTTGGGAGACTTCAGCATGGCCGAGAGACCCGGGTAGAACTTCCTCTCGGACTTCGGAGCTCTAGCGAGAACCGTGCAGAACGAGCGCAGCTCCTTGAACGCCTTCTGCTTGTTGACACCTGCAGTCCGGGGAGTGCGCATGCACAAGGAATAATCGAAGTAAGCGAGGCTCTGCACACAAGTGGTGCCAGAGTTCTGTTGCTACACAAGTGAACAGCACAAAGAACGATGCACAGCTCGTAAGGCAGCACGAACCTGAAACGATCTCGTCGCACTCTTGGGCCTTGAAGAGCGTTGCCAGTGACTCGAGGTGCTCCGTGCAGACCATGGATCACTCCTGCCATCCATGGGGCCACTCGTCGGGCATGACAACGACGTACCATCTGTAGCTCGTGCACCATCACAACGACACCTGGCAGGACTGCAAGAATTCGCCCGACTGCATCTCCGCGCGATAGCCAACGCACATCATTGATTCCTTGGAGCTCCAGGATAGTCTGAGTGAAGACTTCCTGCATGTCCAGGAACCGCTGGTGCGAGGGTCCAGATGAGCTGAGGTAGGTGGAGAGCCAGCGGATGAAGCTGTCGACCATGCCAAACTCCGGAAGGGACTCTGCCGCGTCCTTGGCCGCGAGCGCTTCCCTGCGATTAACATAAGCAATAGACGCATTAGGGTAAGTAGAAGGTAGAAAACTTCTTGCAGATAACTAAAACTCAGGGGAAAGCGCATCAACCCTCATACATGTGAGCGATGCAGTGGCAGGAAACCAGATGCGGTATGCGCGTCCTCAGCCTCGACACCAGCCCGTTTTTGAATCCGACCATCACGCTCGCTCCGTCGGTGCTGATGCCCATGATTCGGCGCAGGTCAATGCCGACGGCATTGACATGGGATAAGAGCAACCCCACCAGCGAGGCGGCGTCTGCCTTGTCTACGCTTAGCAGGGCGAAAAACTCAGTGACTACTGCCCCGTCGCGGATGAATGTGGCGTAGATGATGAGATGCTTCCCACGGCATCTGTCCGTAAACTCGTCACAGCTGAGGCCGATGTAATGGCTTGTGAGAATGTGCTCCAGTTGTGTGGTCTGCAGCCACACTGCCGTTGCCTGTGTGAGTTCCCCGAAGCCGTAGCTGCAGAGACACAGGAAACATTTATTACGGTTATGTGGTTGTTAACATGAGAGGCTCTTCACTGCATGCGCGGATGGAATACCAAGAACTTACGTTGTGTAATAAGTGACGTATCCCTTTTTGGGGAAGCCGCGCACTTCGTTCTTAGCCATGTACCGAACGAGGCTCACCCACGTCTCCATCGGTAGGTGGTCCTGGGTTATGAAGTGAAGGGAGTTTAGGAGGGCGATGACGCGGTTCGTCTCGTCATCCTTGGCGAGCGGATGCTGGTCAATCCGCGGCTGCTTCCTAGCCTGAGCTAGCATCTTCTTCTTGTGCTCGATGGCCAACTGGTGCTTGTTCGTCGCGGCATGCCGCTTGAAGGCTTGGGTCTGAAGATCGGTTGCACCGTGCCCACTCTTGCCACACTTGCCACCGTCACCTGCAAAGTCCATGCACAATCTGCACTTGAACGCAGGCATGCCAGAAGTGGTTTTGATGGGTACGAGCCATGGGTAGTCTGTCGACCACGTGGACTTGAACGAGTCCAACGCATCCTCGTAAATCAAAGTGGTTAGTGACTGTTTTTTTTTACTTGGATGGAGTGGCCGTAACGTCATTTACCGACTCGCCGGCATCAGCCAGAGGATGGTCAGGAGCTGTTGGATCGGCCCAGCGGAGCACGGCCTGCTTGTAACGAGGCGGAGGCTTCGACGACGACCAGCAGCTGGCAAGCGGACGCTCGGGCCAGCTGCTTACGCCACGACCGGCTTAGCAGTATGCGCGGGCTGGGGGCGATCGTCGCCGCGGCAGAGGTCAGACGCGTCACCAGTGTATGCTCCTGAAGTGAGGGAAGCTTGCTTCTCTTTTTCATGCGAGAGCACGGAGACTAGAAAATCTAGTCCTGTTTTGGCCTCCCGCATCTCGGTGGCGGCGTGAAGGGCATCGTCGTCATCATCACCGGTGCTGTTCTCACCGATGATCACCATGGCGCGTTCACGCCAACTTCCTGAATCGCAGAGTAGTATCTAGAGAGAGAGAGAGAGAGAGAGAGAGAGAGAGAGAGAGAGAGAGAGAGAGAGAGAGAGAGAGAGAGAGAGAGAGAGAGAGAGAGAGAGAGAGCCTGCCGAGATGGTTTCAGAGAGAAAGCAGAGAGGGACGTTTCCGAAAGGGATGGAGTCTGGAGAGCTAATGAGAGAATCACGAGACCCCCTGCATAGGGTGGCTGAGCGGACTGCCCCAGCCAGGGCCTCAGATTTCAGGAATTTTACCCTGATTTCCTGATGTTTTACCCCAGTTTTTTATTGTGACCCTGATCTATCAGCCTTTTTATTTTTACAACCTTGATGATTCAGTGTTTTTTGTTTTCAAAGACTGATTTTCCAGTGTTTCCTGTTTGACGACACGGACGAGTCAGTGTTGTATTGGAGACGACCCTGAAACCGAAAACTCCGTGATTCTCGCTGTTTTGCGCACCGTCATCATTCATGTACCCACCCTGCACCGACGCCACCCAGCTGCTCGCCGAGATACAGCTGAACGGGGTAATTTTGGGCACTGTTGGCAAAACGACGCAAAGAGATTGGCTGTCCAAGCTGATTCAATGTACCGTTGTTACTGAGGATAACCAACACTTGTCATTTCTGGCCTTGGATGCACACAAACACGCCTAGTGGCCCAGTGGGCTAGTGGTAAGCCTTGTCCTTTTCACCAAGCTAGGGCGTCACACCCACCTGTGTTAAAGGCGGGGTGCAACTTCTTAGGAACAGTTGCAGGACAAATATGGAGTGTGCGTAACGGGACCCTTATTGGACGAAAAAATTGGAATCTCGCACAAGACAAACCTCTCGCCACTGAACTGCGTGGGACTACCAAGTTTCAAGCTATAATACCCTGAAGTTGAAGCTGATAGTTGGCCCACGGCTTTAATTTTGCTGAAACACACCTCACTCTGCTATATGGAAACAGTGAGGCAGGTAGTACATATATTATCACACAATGGCCTTGAGCATCCAACTCAGTGAAATCGCCCTGTTTAGCCGTGCCACCCACCAGTACCGCTTTTCCGTTGGAGCTTCACCTTCCTCGCCCTCATTCTGCGTGCTGCAACAATCCCAGCCTTGGCAACCTTCTCTCTTTCTGAAACGACTTTTGGTTATGTACGTTTCCAATTCCCGTCAATCGGCGACGCGACGCGCGGAGCACTCAGCGACCCTCGAAACCACACTCACTCGCTCGCCTTGGTGAAGTAGAGCCGTCGATCGGAGACAGTCGCGTTGATCGACGGCTCCACGACGCGCGGCGCAGAACAGCAGTTCCCGGGGAGCATTCGCGCCGCTTTAGGTACTTCCGGCGCGTTGATCGTCGCCTCGACGAACGGCTGCGATGGCAGCGGAGGGCGCAGCGATGGAGCTGGAGGGGCAATGGCGCGATCTGGACCGTCTGTTGCTGCGACCAGGGATGCTCGTCGGCCCTGGGTTCGAACCCTCGCCGGAGGTACTTCCGTACGCGATATTGACGGACTCGTTTCAGATCCATAAGCAGCGCTGCGCTTGAGAAACCAGCTTGTCACACGACCCTAGGTCCCCTAAGCATTTAGCCCGTCCGGTGTATCCTCCTGCCAGGCATGCGTGTGGCATCATTACCCATGGCTGGCAGGAGGATACACAGTGCTGTGCGGCAGGCGCTGCAGCAGGCAGGCAGTGGGCCCTGTATCCACGCCGCCTGTGTATCATGGTGCGGGGTGGGATCAGGCGGGCTGGATTGCACGGTGCTGTGCTGCAGGCCCTGCTGTCATGCGCGTCGCTCTCCTTCCCCACCCTCGTCTTCTGTCGCCTGCTCGCACAAGTGGCATCCCACCCCTTCCTCCTCCTGCCCCACACCTACCAGCCGCATTCGTGACTCCCTCAAGTGAGTGTGAGTGCCGTGTGCTCTCCTAGGAGTGTGCTTCTGGTCTGGGCGCGGTTATGGGTCCTTTAGCGGCTCTTTCTCCTCCGTCCCGTTCCCTCCGTTTCCTAACTCTCATGCTTGCCGTGTTGGCCCAGCGTGCTACCGCCTGGGTTAAAAGGGCATGTTTGTATGGTGGGTAGGTAGCGCACCTGTAGTCCTCCCGCACTCTACTGGGGAACGATCCCAGTGCCCCACCAACATGCCGCACTCTTCCCCATTCTCCTCCTTTTCCCACTCTCCCCTTTTCCCCACCCTCCCACCTGCCCTATGCTCCGAATCTCCGTTTCACCCCGTTCCCACCTCCCACCTGCCGTGTGCTGGTGGGCGCGGGCGTGCTGGGCTGCGAGCTGCTATTCGAACACCTGCTGTGATTCCCCTCCTCCTCCTTCCCACCCCTTCCCCACCCTTCCACCACCCCATCAAACCAACCAGATTCGCGAATTCTTGAAGTCGGACTGCTGAGTGCTGGTGGTGGGAGCGGGTGGGCTGGGCTGCGAGCTGCTCAAACACCTGCTGTGACCCACCCTTTTCTCCGTACCACCCCGTTCCCACCTCTCACCTGCCCCGCCCTCCTCCTCGCCACCCCTTCCCCACCATGTCCATTCAACCAGATCCGCGACTTCTTGAAGGAGGACTGCCGAGTGCTGGTGGTGGGAGCAGGCGGGCTGGGCTGTGAGCTGCTAAAGGACCTGGTGCTGTCGGGGTTTGGCAGCATAGACGTGATTGACATGGACACTATCGATGTGTCAAACCTTAATAGGCAGTTTCTGTTCCGGTGAGTTGATACACTACATACACAGTGCACACAAAGTACTGCTACTGTGTACGAACAGAGCTGCTCAAGGACCTGGTGCTGTCGGGGTTTGGCAGCATCGACGTGATTGACATGGACACCATCGACGTCTCCAACCTTAACCGCCAGTTCCTCTTCCGGTGGGTTACAGTGCCACTACAGTGCCACTACAGCGCAGAAACAGTCCTGCTACAGTGCATGTACTCGGTGGGGTGTGGCAGCATAGACGTGATTGACATGGATACCATCGATGTCTACAACCTCAACCGCCAATTCCTCTTCTGGTGAGATGCAGTGCTGATGCTACAGTGCATGTACTCGGTGGGGTGTGGCAGCATAGACGTGATTGACATGGATACCATCGATGTCTCTAAACTCAGCAGACAGTTCCTGTTTCGGTACGCTGCAGTGCTGCTATATTGTATGAACAGTGCTTCTGCAGTGTAGGGACTGCTACAGTGTTTGAACAGCAGAGCATGGCGTGGGCAAGCCCAAGGCCGTGGTGGCCGCAGAGCGAGTGACGATCGGCAAGTCTTTCCCTCCCCTCTCCCCTCTCCCCTCTCCCCTCTCCCCTCTCCCCTGCATGCAACCCCCTCTCGCCTCCGTGCAGCCCGTCTGACGTGGGCAAGCCCAAGGCCGTGGTGGCAGCAGAGCATTTGGCACTCAACAAGTCTTCTCCCGCTTTCCCTCCCGTCCCCCCCTGACTCTTCCCCTGTTCCCCTTCCTACCCCCACGTGCCCCCTCCTTCCCCTCGTTCTGCCCCATACCCCTCCGTGCAGCCCGGCTGATGTGGGCAAGCCCAAGGCGGTGGTGGCAGCAGAGCGAGTCATGAGCCGCGTGGGCGGGGTGAAGGTGAGAAGGGGGGGAAAACCGAGTCAAAGGGAGGAGAGGGAATGGGCTGACTTTTGAGACGACTCAAAAGTCATCCGAGTTAAAGGGAGGAGAGGGAATGGGGGTTCTTGTCACTTCTGCAATTCGTGTTTTCTGCTATATTCCCCCTCTCTTCAACCACCCCCTTCTCCCACCCCTTTCGCTATCTCCTGTCCCGACCCCCAAACTCATTCCCCTCTATGTAGCACCACTCTCCCTCACCCCCACCCTGCCCCACCCCACGCCACCCCACCCCCACCAGGTGACGCCTCACTTGTGTCGCATAGACGACAAGCCCGCGTGCTTCTTCAGCGAGTATTGGTGCGACTTTTGAGAGTTCTCGGTGCGACTTATGAGAATTCTCAAAAGTTCAACGTCATCGTGTTGGTGTTGGCTGGACTCGTCATTCGCTTCCTGACACCTCTCACTATTCTCCACATCACCACTCCCTCCTCTAAACCCGCTCGTTCCCCACCGCACTCCACCAGGTGACACGGCACTTCTGTCGCACAGAGGACAAGCCCGCCTCTTCTTCAGCAACCCCCCCCTCCCCCGCCTCCTCCCCACCCTTCCCCACCCTGCCCCACCCTGCCCCACCCTGCCCCACCCCCACCTACCCCCACCCCCACCAGGTGACCCCTCACTTCTGTCGCATAGAGGACAAGCCCGCCTCCTTCTTCAGCGAGTTCAATATCATCGTGTTGGGCCTCGACTCGCTGGAGGCGCGCTCCTACATCAACAGCCTCGTCTGTGGCTTCCTAGGTGCGCTTGCTCTAGACTTAGATGAATTGCACTGCATGCTTGCAAGATGACTGCATGCGCACAGTGCCAAGCAGGCGTCAACATCATCTTGGTGGGACTCGACTCGCTGGAGGCACGCTCCTACATCAACAGCCTCGTCTGTGGCTTCCTAGGTGCGCCCTGTCTGTGGCCTTTTAGGTGAGTCCTAGGTTTGGATGGATAACACAGGTCTGTCTGTGGCTTGCATGGTGAGCGATTTGCATGATGACTGCCTGCACAGTGCCACCCACGTGCAGCAGCCTGCAATCATCTCGCGCCTTGAGATGCAGTCGTTTGGTTGGATGACTGCCACCCACATGGAGATGCAGTCTGCAGGTAAGTGCACGTTGCACTGTCATGCCTTAATGTGGTGAGGGCTGCAGCGAAGTGCATGGGAAAGGAACTCTCTATATTGCAAACGAATGTTGAGGTGATTGTGAGATTGTCATTGCCATGTGCGCTCTCCGTCCGTGGGCACGGCATGGGGCATTCAGTTGCTCCAACTCCTCACCATACGAGCTCCTATGAGACCAGAGTATGCATTGACATGACATGGTGACACTCCTTCAGCTTTTCACATTTCACAAATGTCGCTGGTCGCGCCTCCCACCCTGTCAATACCCTTGGTCAAGGGTCTTCAGTGTTTTCATGCCAGTACCTTCCTTCCTGCTCTCCATCTCCACCCCTCCCCACCACCAGAATACTCGCCTGATGGCAAGTTAGGCCAGACATCCATCCGGCCGAGGGTGGACTGGGCCACGGAGGTCTTTAAGGGGCATGCGAGTGAGGGTGATGTTTCTCCCTACTTCAAATCTCCCTCCTCCTTCCTCTTCCTCTCCATCCACTCCCACAACTCCACCCTTACCACCAGAGTACTCGCCTGAGGCCGAGCTAGACCTGTCATCAATCCTCCCCATGGTGGACGGCGGAACAGAGGGCTTTAAGGGGCATGCGAGGGTGACCATCGTTCTCCCTACCCAACACCCCCCCTTTCCCCCACTCCCTCACCACCACCAGAGTACTCCCCCGAGGGCGAGCTGGACTTGACCTCCATTCGGGGGAACGGAGGGCTTCAAGGGGCATGCGAGGGTGCTCACCCCCCTTTCCTCCACCCCTCCTGCCCCACCCCCGTCTCCGCCCCCTCACCACCAGAGTACCCCCCCGATGGCGAGCTGGACTTGACCTCCATCCGCCCCATGGTGGACGGCGGCACGGAGGGCTTTAAGGGGCATGCCGGAGTGATCCTTCTTCCTACCCAGTGTCCCCCCCTCCTCCACTCCTCTCCTCATCCCTTCACTCCTCTCCTCGTCTCCTCCCTCACCACCAGAGTACTCTCCTGAAGGCGAGCTGGACTTAACCTCCATCCGCCCCATGGTGGACGGCGGCACGGAGGGCTTTAAGGGGCACGCGAGGGTGATCATCCCGGGGGTGACGCCGTGCTTCCACTGCACGCTGTGGCTCTTCCCCCCCCAGACCAAGTTCCCCCTCTGCACGCTCGCTGAGACCCCGCGCTCGCCCGCGCACTGCATTGAATACGCGCACCTCATTCAGTGGGGCGAGGTGAGACGCGCACCTCATCCAGTGGGGCGAGGTGAGTTGAGATGCATGTTCAGTTGGGTGTGGTGGGAGGGGGGTTAACGAATAGAACAGAGGGGGGCTGGGTCGCCCGCACACTGCATTGAATACGCTCATCTCATTCAGTGGGGCGAGGTGAGACAAATGTTTAGTTGGAGAAGGGGGGGTTAAGCGGATGGAACAGAGGGGGGCTGGGTCGCCTGCTCACTGCATTGAATACGCGCACCTCTTTCAGTGGGGCGAGGTGAGACAAGTGTTCAGTGGGAGGAGGGGCGGGAAGGAGGGCGAAGTGGTTTCGCGGATGGAGGGGTGGGGTGTGAGGAGGGCATGGGGTGGACGGAGGGGTGGGGTTTGAGGAGGGCATGGGGTGGACGGAGGGGTGGGGTGTGAGGAGGGCATGGGGTGGACAGAGGGGTGGGGTGTGAGGAGGGCATGGGGTGGACGGAGGGGTGGGGTGTGAGGAGGGCATGGGGTGGACGGAGGGGTGGGGTGTGAGGAGGGCATGGGGTGGACGGAGGGGTGGGGTGTGAGGAGGGCATGGGGTGGACGGAGGGGTGGGGTCTGAGGAGGGCATGGGGTGCATTGGACTAGCAAATGGGGCGGAGTGGGGCTGTGTGGCCCACAAATTACATTGATGCGCACACCTCCTTCTGTGAGGGGAGGTGAGATCCGCATACAGCCGGGAGGAAGGCGGACGGGTGTGGGAAAGGAGAAGGATTCGTTTTTCTTCTCCCCGGATCAGCTTTTGCCTGTGCGTGTGAAATTGTGAGATTAACTTCCGCCTGGCGCTCTGCACCGTCTTTCAACCTCCCTCACTTGCTCCCCCCTCTTAACACTCCTCACTTTGTTTTGATTGCTTGTTTTATTCTCGCTTTCTCTGTCTGTTTCCCTTTCTGTTTCTCGTTTCTTTTCCCGGTCCCTACTCCATTCACCACCTCACTCTACTTTTCCTGCCCCGCCTCGCCTCTCCTCCTCTCCTCATCTCTGCATCACCACCAGGAGCGGCCAGGAGAGTCCTTTGATGCGGACAACTTGGAGCACATACAGTGGATCTACCACAAGGTGCAGATGTTTGACCACATACAGTGGTCCTTTGATACAGATGTTTCTGTTTTACCACATCTTTCTGTTTGACCACATCTGTCTGTTTTACCACATCTTTCTGTTTTACCACATCTGTCTGTTTTACCACATCTTTCTGTTTTACCACATCTTTCTGTTTTACCACATCTGTCTGTTTTACCACGTCTGTCTGTTTTACCACATCTTTCTGTTTTACCACATCTTTCTGTTTTACCACATCTGTCTGTTTTACCACGTCTGTCTGTTTTACCACATCTTTCTGTTTTACCACATCTGTCTGTTTTACCACGTCTGTCTGTTTTACCACATCTTTCTGTTTTACCACATCTTTCTGTTTTACCACATCTTTCTGTTTTACCACATCTTTCTGTTTTACCACATCTTTCTGTTTTACCACATCTTTCTGTTTCCAAAGGCCACCTGTACTTCATTCGTGTCCCTCTCATGCCGCTATCATGTTTATTGTTGCTTCTCTCATGTCAATCTCCGCTCCCTCCTTCCCCTGCTTCCCCTCCCCTGCTTCCCCTCCCCTGCTTCCCCTCCCCTGCTTCCCCTCCCCTGCTTCCCCTCCCCTGCTTCCCCTCCCCTGCTTCCCCTCCCCTGCTTCCCCTCCCCTGCTTCCCCTCCCCTGCTTCCCCTCCCCTGCTTCCCCTCCCCTGCTTCCCCTCCCCTGCTTCCCCTCCCCTGCTTCCCCTCCCCTTCTTCCCCTCCCCTGCTTCCCCTCCCCTGCTTCCCCTCCCCTGCTTCCCCTCCCCTTCTTCCCCTCCCCTGCTTCCCCCCCCCCCCCCCCTGCTTCCCCTCCCCTTCTTCCCTTCGTTCCCCTCCGGCCGCACGGCCCACCTCCTCTCTGCTCCCTGGCAGGCTCTCATTCGCGCCCAGCAGCACAGCATCACAGGGGTCACTCTCTCCCTCACGCAGGTGTGTGCCATGCCATGCACCATGCACGATGCACCATGCACATGCACATGCACATGCACCATGCACCATGCACCATGCACATGCACATGCACATGCACATGCACATGCACCACGCACCATGCACATGCACATGCACATGCACCATGCACCATGCACCATGCACCATGCACCATGCACAATGCACCATGCACATGCACCATGCACCATGCACCATGCACCATGCACATGCACATGCACATGCACATCTACTGCCATCCGCCTCTCCTCTGTGCTCTGTACCTCGCCTCTCCTCTGTGCTCTGTACCTCGCCTCTCCTCTGTGCTCTGTACCTCGCCTCTCCTCTGTGCTCTGTACCTCGCCTCTCCTCTGTGCTCTGTACCTCGCCTCTCCTCTGTGCTCTGTACCTCGCCTCTCCTCTGTGCTCTGTACCTCGCCTCTCCTCTGTGCTCTGTACCTCGCCTCTCCTCTGTGCTCTGTACCTCGCCTCTCCTCTGTGCTCTGTACCTCGCCTCTCCTCTGTGCTCTGTACCTCGCCTCTCCTCTGTGCTCTGTACCTCGCCTCTCCTCTGTGCTCTGTACCTCGCCTCTCCTCTGTGCTCTGTACCTCGCCTCTCCTCTGTGCTCTGTACCTCGCCTCTCCTCTGTGCTCTGTACCTCGCCTCTCCTCTGTGCTCTGTACCTCGCCTCTCCTCTGTGCTCTGTACCTCGCCTCTCCTCTGTGCTCTGTACCTCGCCTCTCCTCTGTGCTCTGTACCTCGCCTCTCCTCTGTGCTCTGTACCTCGCCTCTCCTCTGTGCTCTGTACCTCGCCTCTCCTCTGTGCTCTGTACCTCGCCTCTCCTCTGTGCTCTGTACCTCGCCTCTCCTCTGTGCTCTGTACCTCGCCTCTCCTCTGTGCTCTGTACCTCGCCTCTCCTCTGTGCTCTGTACCTCGCCTCTCCGCGCCACTGTCTCCTCTTCCTGAATCTGCATTGTCGCCATTGCACATTCCTGAATCTGCATTGTCGCCATTGCACATTCCTGAATCTGCATTGTTGCCATTGCACATTCCTGAATCTGCATTGTCGCCATTGCACATTCCTGAATCTGAATTGTCGCCATTGCACATTCCTGAACCTGCATTGTCGCCATTGCACATTCCTGAAGCTGCATTGTCGCCATTGCACATTCCTGAACCTGCATTGTCGCCATTGCCACCCCCCTCCCCGCCCACCCGGAGCTGTTTCTTCCACTTCTTGCCATCCCCTCCCATCGTCACACACCCCATTTCCCTGCAATTACCTCCCTTTGCCGCCGCACCACCATGACCTTGCATGCAATGCAGAGAGTGGTGAAGAACATTATCCCCGCTATATCACCAACATCTAATGAATGCCATGCCATTACCCCTCTCTTGTGCCACACCATCATGGTGCATTCGATACAGGGAGTGGTGAAGAACATTATCCCCGCTATAGCATCAACCAATGCCATCATATCAGCAGTGTGCGCGCTGGAGACTCTCAAGATCGCTACAATGTGCTCCGCAGGGATGAACAACTACGTGATGTAAGTGAATGTGCTTATACGCATGAATGTGTGTTGAGAAAGGATGTGTTTGTATGCATCAATGAGTGTGTGATGTAAGTGAGTGTGCTTCTATGCATGAGTTACCTGGTGTTGTAAATTAAACGTGCTTCTATGTCTGAACAACAAGGTGCTGTAGGAAAATACTCCACGTGCTTCCTTTATAAGATAGAGCACTCTTGAATCTCCCCTGTCCTTATCCGAATCCCTACATGTGTGGGCCCCACCCCACAGGTACGTGGGCACGCAGGGGGTCTACTCACACACTGTCGCATATGAGAGGGACCCCGAGTGTCTCATGTGCAGCGCTGGAGCCCCTTAATCAAATAATGCACTCTTGAATCTCCCACGTACTTGTCCCAATCCCCACACTTGTGCGCCCCTCAGGTATGTGGGCACGCAGGGCGTCTACTCACACACTGTGGCATATGAGAGGGACCCGGAGTGCCTCGTGTGCAGCGCTGGCGTGCCTGTGACCGTGCCTTCCACAGCCACTCTGCAGCAGGTATGTGTGATGTGTGCATGGCATGTGCTGGCACGGCTGATTGCACTCTGCAGCAAGTAGTTATCTGGGTTGCTAGCACGGTACAAAATCCACATTTCACTAACACTTTGCGGCAGCTTTTGTTTTCTGCAACAGGTGCTGCCATCCCCAGCAACTAGGGCATGTGTATTACTTTCCTTTCTTGCCCACTGCTCATTGTATCTTCCATGCAGTTTATCGACCAGCTATTGGCCGACTCTCGTTTTGCCGCCCGCTTGCAAGCACCGTCCGTCTCTTTCTATGGATCCAACCTCTACCTCCGTGCCCCTGCGGTGCTCGAAGAGGCAACTCGGCCGAATCTTTCCAAGCCACTGAAAGAGCTGATGGATGGAGTGGGCTGTGTGAATGGGGAGGAGGGCGGAGAGAAAAAGGGTGTTTCGGCTGGAGGGGTGTTGAATGTGAACGATAAGAAGCTAGCAGGTGTGCTTAGAGTGAGGGTCTCTTTCAATGACGAACTGTGATTGGAGAAATTTGAACATTTATGGTTGTACATAGTTCAAATGTAAACAAGGTCCGGGTTTATATTACCGAAACTAGAATTACTCATGCTGCATAACGTACTTGTAGCAGGGCACAGTCATGTGGCACAACGAAGGCTGCAGTGCCAGCTCCCACGATAATTGTTCGTTTTCTCTTGCTGCTACCCGCACCTCGCGCGCAGCTCCTCAAAGCATCGACGGCCTGTATGCAGTTTGCATAAACTCAACAAGAATGCATGTCCGCTGGATATAGCCGCACCGCACATTTCAAGGCAAAAGAATGGGGCCAATAATTGTGGCAGAAAATCAACCTCCCCAGCCTGAATCACAACGCAAGATGCGCTGAAGCACAACATGCTCTCTCCTCTCTGTTGACAACCTATTTTACGCTGAATTCTGCGGCTGCTCTTTGCAAAATCTATCAGCGCCTATTTCAAAAGAATTCCAACAGAAACTGCAGACGTGTCGAGTTCTTTTTGCTTAGCCTCGAGCCGAACAGCCGAGGTACGTAGTTCAACCCGACAATCTTGTCGACAGTGGTGTCGGCGGATAGTCGTTCCTATCAACTGACAGCACTATTTCGCGCTTTCAACAATGGTAGTGACCCGTTCTAAAAGAAGCTAATAACCTCGGTTGATGCGCGAGGCCATTTCGATCTCTGGTTCTCGCGGCTGCGTTCCGTCGCCATCTTTTGCGGGCAGAATATCACCGTGTAGTTATTAGTATGATGGGGGCGCAAACGGAGCTGCTGATCAAAGCAAGACGACGATTTCAGAACTCGTTCTGCCCATCGTTTACCGCTCTCTTCTGTACGTATACTGTGTGGGGAAGGGGGAGACTATCACAACGTTTTGAGAGCTGCACGTTTGTCTGTGCACCAAATAGAAAGTGCACGTATTGTTTCTATAAATTTGGAATAATATCTGCCGCGTAGAGCCATCGTCTGCCCCTACATATATTTGATAATTTCAATCTCACTTCTAACATGTGTTACTCTCCATTTCGAATCACCAGGTTTCGCGACGCTGGCGGGTTTCTCGACCGACGCTCACGCCCAGACTCAGCAAGGTGAGAAGACTCAATGCGACAGAGCCACTCCGCTCAAAAGGTAGAGAGGACGACAGAAGAAAGGATGAGAGGGCGAAATGAAGAGAGAAGGAGACAACGAAATGACGAGAGGAAGATGAAACGAATGGCTAGTAGTACTTTTGAATGAGCAGAGGACTCGTTGGGAGCACATAAGTTTGAACCTTACAAATAAAACACTAAAATGGGAGCTTATTGCACAGAGAAAAACAACCATCACCCGTTTCCTTATCCTTTTCTCTCCATCTCCCAATGTTCCCTCATTTCTCTCGTCTTCCCTTTTATTGTCTAAATTTCCAAGAACGTGATACCCCGCCCGTGCATGTCATCATGTGCCTCACCATCCCGTCGCGTGTGTCACCCCACCCTCAGCCGCTCATTGGTTTCAAACATTACCGCCCCTCTTGGCAGTTAGCCTCGTGACGAGCTTTTCAGACAAAGCGGCGGCCGGCACTCTCAGCCTGCTCGTTCAAAGAAAGTAAGCAGCAATTCTGCAACGCTTCTCTCCAATAGCTCGTTTGCTCCCAGTCATAACTTCTGCAGTCAACTACCTGTCTTGACTCTGTCTGCAGTAGGAGTTTTGTTGGAATATAGTTGCTTTCTTGAAACTCTCTTCTGATACCTCACCAGTCCCTCCCGCCCCTTTCCAGTGCTACAAAATACAACCTTCGCTACACTCTCGTGTTTACCGGGCCAGCCACCGCACCCAAACGAATCGCCTTATATCAGAGGCAACAGCAGCAGCCCGTCATCACGATCCCCCTTCCCCTCCTCGCCTGCGCACAGCCCGCGCCTTCCGTGTGGCACTGCTCTGGCGCACCTGCCTCGCCTCCCCTCCCTGCTGCTCCCCTTGCCGCCCTCCTTGCTGCTGCTTCTGCTGGCGCTGCCGGTGGTAGCACTGCCGGTGGTAACACTCCTGGTGGTAACGCCGCGGGTAGAGACACTGCAAGTGGCATCACTGTGAGCGGTACCAGTGGCATTGGTTTCTCTGCTGCGGTGGTGGGCGCTGGGAGCAGCAGCATGGGCGCGTTATCTCAAGCCAAGGCGTTCTACGCTGGTGAGCACAGTGGGGGTGGGGTGGGGTGAGGGGTGGAGAGTGGTGATAAACGGTGGCGAGGTGGAGGGAGTGTGTGAGGTAGGGTGTGGAGGGTTCGAGTAGGGAGGGAAGTAAGGATGGAAAATCAACCAATGCACTAAAGGAATATCATGTCTTTCCATGCCGCACTTCGTCCTGCACCCTACTACAACTCTCTGCACCCCTCAACACTCCTGCATACCTCGACTCAATCGTTGCAGTCCTCCCTTGCTCCGCCCCACCGTGGCAGCATCTGTGAAGAAGCTTGAGCTGAGCTCGTTGAAGTTCTCATTTCCCCATCCTCCTGCCTTTCCCTCTCCCCTCGCTCACTAACCCGACACCCCTCAGCACGCCACCCCTCACCCCGCCAAGAGGCACACTGGTGGTGTCCACTTGTGAGGACCCTCAGAACCGCCTTCTCTTTGCCCTCCCGTGCACCCCGCCAGTCCCCTCGGCGCTCACGCCGGTGCTCTACCCCACTGCGGCCGCCCAGCTGGGCGGAGCAGCCAAGGGAGGCGCCACTGTCTCTGTCTCCTCCACGTGAGTGCGTGTGTCATCTACGTACACATGAGAGTGTGTTATCACCATGCCCGTGTCCTCCACGTGAACAGCACCAGCACTATTGTGCCACTCTAGCACGTCGCTGTGTCTCTGTCCAATTCCCCTGGAAGCGACACACTCACCAACTACAGCATCGCCAACCCCTCATATGAACCCCTCCATTATCTCGCATCATCTCCCCCGATGGGTGGCAGCAACACCCCACAAATCCTCTCGGTCCTCTCTTGCTAGCTACCAAGTTCAAGATCTTCTTAATTCTTACCTGCCTCTTCCTGGCTTCGCAACACTACCCTTACCACTGCGTTGATCGTCCACCCCTCTTGACCTATCTGTACTCCTCCCCCCCCTGTCCCCTTCTTCGCAGCAATGCTCTCGCCAAGATCAACTACCTCATCATCGTACTCAACCCCACTCAACCCCTCCGGTTGGTCAAGGTCTCCCTCTCACCCCCCTCCTCCGCCTCTCCCTCCACCTCCTCCTCCACCTCCTCCACCTCCCCTCTCTCCCTCGCCTGCACGTGGGTCGCCCCACTCCCCTCGGTGTGGGTCTGCCGAGGAACAGCCATGGCGGCTCAGGTCTCCCCAGCAGCCAAGGCGGTGGCAGCGCTGCCAGCACTGCCTGCAGGGGCGAGGAGTGCATGTGTGGTTGGAGTGAGTGTGGAAGGGGGGGTCGCTGCAACCCAAGCGGCACAGGGGGCGTTGGTGCGAGTGGACTTTTGAGACAACTCAAACGTCGCTGCGATGCGACCCCAGCAGCACAGGGGGCGTTAATGCGAATGGTGGAGCATGTCCGGTGAGATAATGGTCGCGCTGCGGCCTGGCTCTGGATTTTTTTGAGCTGCTAGGACTGCTGCCAACAAGCGTTTCAAAAAGCCCTGCTGGATCCTGTTGGCACCTGGTGAATGCATTCAAGCATACCATATGAAAGCTGAAGCTGATTTTTTCAGCTCTGCATTGGTGTAGGCAATGTGTGTGCTAAATGCATGGACTAACTTAGCGGGAAATAAAGGCTGATATGCAGGACTCGTCCGCTGATGTGGTTATAGTGGCGTCATCTCAAGTATTTCATCTTATTGGGAGAATGACAACATGCATCTGGGTGGGGTTGCGGGTGGGAACGAGCAGAAACAGTGAGGTTATCGTCTTTGTTGATCCACGCTACCCAACCCAGTCACTGAAAATTTCCAATTGCATACAAGCGATCTGCGTTTGAGAATTCTCAAAAACCAGCTCCTTGCATACAAGCGATCTGCGTCAAGGTGCCATCCAACGTACTCAATATTGAGGTGTCGCAATCGTTTGAGACACATCTGTTTGAGACTCGAGCTCGCAAAGAAAGTACCCAAACGATGAGAGCGGGGAGGAAGGGATGAGAGTGGAAAAGAACGGATGAGAGCGGGGAGGAAACGATGAGAGTGGAAAAGAACGGCTGAGAGCGGGGAGGAAACGATGAGAGTGGAAAAGAACGGCTGAGAGCGGGGAGGAAGGGAACAAAAGCGGGAAGGAAGGGATGAGAGAGGAAAAGAACGGATGGGAGCGGGGAGGAAGGGAATAAAAGCGGGGAGGAACGGATGAGAGCGGGGCGGAAGGGATGAGAGCGGGGCGGAAGGGATGAGAGCGGGGCGGAAGGGATGAGAGCGGGGCGGAAGGGATGAGAGCGGGGCGGAAGGGATGAGAGCGGGGCGGAAGGGATGAGAGCGGGGAGGAAGGGACTGAAAGCAGGGAGGAAGGTTATAAGAGCGGGGAGGAAGGGAATGAAAGCGGGGAGGAAGGGAATGAGAGCGGACGACACAGGGGAGAGAGGACGAGAGGAGGGAGAGAGGAGCGCAAACAGGGGTGGAATGAAGCGTGCGACGTGGGCGGTGGGGGGTGCGACGCGGGCGAAATGGGTGACGTGTGTACCCCACTCATGGCCATTTTGAGGCGAGGTGGCGGCGAGGGGGCGACACAGCCAGGACGCGACGCGGCGCGGAGGGTATTTTGGCGAGGAGACGAAGGGGTGACGAGGCTGCGATTATATGCTGCGAGGATGGAGGCGGGCCGATCAGCGGATTTCGCGGCGAGGCCGCCACGATGTGGCTCATCGCCTGCGGCCTGGCATACTAGTGGCGGGCGGCGGCATTGCTCTAAGGTAGTAGATGACAAAAACTACCGATGGAACCCTAGTGTGCGATTATATGAGGAGGGTTGCGGGGATCGTGCCTAAACCCGTAGTTTCTTTGCGTGTGATGGCTACTAGAGAACCTTGTTAGTGCGCTGCGCTCGAACACGGAGATTTGGCTCACCTTTACGCACTGGTATTCCCGCCCTTCCGCCAGTTGTTCCCCAACCCTTCACCCTGACGAATTTGGATGGATTCGCCTACACATTCCAACTTCATCTATAAAGAAAAGGTCACTTCGCACCCAATCAGCGCGCGGTAAAACTCTGTTTCCGTAACTTGCTGATATCAGCAGCCGGACATGCTTGTTACGTGACACTTGACTGCCTGCTGATGTCAGCAGGCTCCACGCTGTTCCCGAACCAGAACAATAGTCCAACCAGGGTGGTGTGGTGTGGTACGTGTGGAAACACCAATGGGCGCCTTGCAGGGCTGTGTGATTGAAGGCTTGGACGTTTGGGTTTGGGGATCCGAAACCCGAGTTAGCGCTATCGTGCGAACGTGGTTACCAGCTCTGGTTCTTGCAGCTTTGGCCGCAAATGCTCACACCCAGAGTCGATGAGGTAACCAGCGTTTTCACGAATCCACCATGCGAGCCTCGCAAACTGGTTATGTTCGCAACAAACAACATGTGCCACGCCCAAGAGCCGCAACATCCAAGCGATCCAACCACCGCAAGAAGCCCTCCTTGGCCTAGCCTGAGCTGACAATTCTTTACCTCGGCTTCACGCACAGCAATAATGGTCAGTGAAATGGAATAATGGTGGCCGTCTTTTAGAATGGAAGAATATCCTGACAGCCACAACGGAGCTTCTCCCACGAGGCGCACGTGGCTGCGATCGATTGGTCCAGTGAGCCAGGAGGAATTTTTTTTTGCATCCCGATAGAGTCTATCTGCCCGCGCCCCGCCTCGCCATCTGCTGGCATGTTCTTCCGCCATGAAGAATTTCTCTATTGCATCCCACGATAGAGTTTCTCTGCCCGCGCTTCCCGCCGCGCCATCATCTGCTAGCATGTTCTTCCGCGCCTCCCATAATTATGCTCCCTATCAGTCCCTCGCGCCAACTCACTCATTAGTACAAAGGATCGTGAGAGGAGGGACTGATCATTATTACGAGCACTTCCAGCTTCGGTTTAGAGCAGCCAGCGCCTGTGCAGCTATTCTCTCTAGTAGTCTACTCTTCCTCGGGTGTTCCCCCCTCCAGCCATGGCTCACCAGACCCCTCCGTCGCTCACCATGCTGGTTTCCGCCATGATCTTCGTCTCGTCGGCTGCTGCTGCCGCTTACTCTGCCTCTCCCTCAACCGCCGCCGCCAGCAACAAATACGCTCTCGTCCCGGCGACAAACAGCCTTCTATTCGGCAATGGATACTCGGTGACGTGGGGTCCCGCGGGAATCACCTCCGCCGTCGACTCCCATGGCGCGCCTCTCAAATTCGTCAACAACCCTGACGGATCCGTCACTGTTGATAAGGTGTACACCGCCTACCCCAACGGCACGCTCACCGGTCCCGGCATTGTAATCGTCACCAGTGGGCCCACTGCGGGATTCAGCATGGGAAAGACGAGGTTCCTGGAGAACGGCACGATCGTGGACGCCTCGGGAAAGAAAGTTACGCCGACTCTTAATGCGGACGGGTCGTACACTGCAGGGGACCTGAAAGGGTGGAGCAACGGCACCATTGTTGGCCCCACTGGTGCATCGATCTATCTCGGCGCACCGCTCGCGCTCACCCCTGACGGCTCCGTTGGTTTTGTTGCCCCCAGCAGCAGCTACTCCTACAACTCGACCACCAACAGCCTGACGTTCGGCAAGAATTACACGGTGACGTGGAGTGAGACAGGATTCACCTCCGCCGTCGACTCGACGGGCGCGACTCTCAAAGGCTTCAAAAACCTCACCGACGGATCCGTCACTGTTGATGGCGCGTACACTGCCTACACCAACGGCACGCTCATTGGTCCCGGCATTGTCGTGGTCGTGAATGGACCGACTGCCGGGTTCAGCATGGGAAAGACGACCCTCCTGAAGAACGGCACGATCGTGGGCGCCTCGGGAAAACCAGTTGCGCCGACTGCCAATGCGGACGGGTCGTACACTGCAGGGGAACTGCGTGGGTGGAGCAATGGCACCATTGTTGGCCCCACTGGTGCATCGATCTATCTCGGCGCACCGCTCACGCTCAACCCTAATGGCACCGTTACTTTCGCCAGCAACGGTGGCGCTAGTGGCAGTGCTCCTTCTGCCTCTCCTTCTCCTTCTGCTGCTCCTTCTTCTGCTGCTCCTTCTCCTTCTGCTGCTCCTTCTTCTGCTGCTCCGGCTCCTCCTTCTCCTTCTCCTTCCGCTTCTCCGGCTACTCCTTCCCCACCCAAGGCTGCAGGTAAATTGTTCTTCTCCTGCTCCTTCTACTTCTGCGCCCCTTACTGCTGTGCCATCCGTTCTTCCGCTTTCTGTTGCCCCTCTTTGCAATCTTCATGGTACCTAACCATGTATCCCCCCTTCACATTTCCACACCTCTTCAATCTGATTCCCTCTTTTCATTATACCCTTATTTACTAGAGCGGGTTGTTAGTTCTGCCCTCATTCTTATTGTCTTGTTGCCACCCTCGCATGGCAGGTTTGCTTGCTACACCAGTCACGGCTCTCACTGCTGTCATCACTCTGATGCTTGGCACAATCCTATTCGTGTAATGTGCCTGCTCCTGGCGGCACCACAGGCAGGGCCTCAGATGTCAGGAATTTTACCCTGAATTCCTGAAGTTTGACCCCCGTTTTTTATCATGACCCTGATGCATCAGCCTTTTTTTTTCAACGACCCTGATGTTTCAGTGTTTTTAAATTTCGAACTCTGATTTTCCAGTGTTTTGTGTTTGAGGACACTGACGAGTCAGTGTTGTATCGGGGTCTACCCTGAAACCGAAAACTCCTTGTTTTGGCGCGCCGTCACTGTGCACCGTGCACCAAGGGGATTTCTGGCGAAACATGCTCTGACAGGGCGAATCTCTTGTGTGAGGGGCGAATCTGCTGCTGTGTCAGGGCAAATCTGCTATGATTGGGCGAATTTGCTGTGCTGCGACAGCGCGTAACGACTGTGCGAGGTCGAATTTGCCGTCAGGGCGAATCTGCTGTGACGAACCAAGTCCGAATCATCAGTCAAGTACACAACCAGAGATCAGAAACAATTCTTAACAATTGTCCTATTCGATTGGTCAGACAAGATTTCTGATCTGACCAATCAGACACGGAAATAGCAGAATCCTGGCCGAATTTGGGAATTGTTAAGTGAGGGCAGTCTGATTCGCTGTGTTATGACAGCATACCAGTAAAGCAACTATGCTGATCAGTGTTGAAGTTGTAGAAACCCTGATTGATCAGCGTTTTATTTCTAACAACCCTGTAAATTCAGTGTTTCACACTAGACGACACTGAAAATCAGTGTTACCCTCCTAGGGACACTGAGTGCTCAGGGTACACAAAAACCAATCTGAGGCCCTGACCACAGGACTAGGCTCACGGTCAGTCTAGGCACAAGTGGCAGTGATTCTAGTGTGCAGTGCA